AAATGAAAGTTGTTAAACCAAATGTGTTGCTTAAAATTTGTTATAAAATGCTCAAAATCTTTAATTCCAAGAATAACTGCTCTCTAAATTGGTGTGATAGGAATAATTTACAGTCTTAAAGAACTGTTCTGGTGTGATATCAGTAGAATTCTTGGAGTCGTCTTTCGGTGTTTGACTTGAACTCTCCTGAAAATAAAAAACAGAAATGCCCAATATTGATCTTATCTGAAATTTGCTGATGATTATGAGATCACAACTTTTTCATGATTTCACTGAAAGGACTTGTTCAGTCAAATTGCTGCGCAGATAGGTTCTACTCTGTTTGCTCAGAAAAAAGAAAAGAAGCTTACTTGTACTGCTTTAGCTACTTCATCAAGTGGCATTGAGCACATGAAGGATCCATTTTTGGATTGATAATTACTTTCATCAAAATAATAATTTCGACCATTTGGGGTTTGCAATGGCTGCGAGTTGGATCGAAGAATTGCCTAAAGTAATACTTTATGAGGCTTTATCTCTTATAAAATGTGCTATGCTAGATTTATATTCGATTCTGAATGGTTCAGTAATAATTTTGTGGTGCAAACAAACGAATGATTAAAATTATCTAACTTACCTTTCCTGACTCAATGGTTGCCACACCTGTCGCAGTTCCAATTGCTCCACCAATCAAAGCTTGTTTTAACGCTTCCGCACAAGTGCTTTAAATACAGTACATTATATTTTTTATTTTTGTATGTCTACAAATACAAAAACTATCAATTTTTTATGCGAACAGGATGGCTTACTTTTTGTCGTGGAAAACAAAATCACTGTGTGAATGGTATCCACTGATTGGAACAGGATAATATCCACCTGCGTTATTAGAGTTATAATTGTCACCTGACTGCTAAAGTCAAGAAATAGTAATTTAAGAAAAGTAATTAAGTGATGCTGCGTGCATGTTTTATTTACTTCAGTAACTTACTTTTCAATCATTATTTGCTCAAAAAATCACACATTTTCCTTTTAAAACTTGTTTTCGTAATAAAGCATCCTTGAAATTAGAAAAAAGTTTGAACTATTAATTCTGTGACTTTTGATAAAGAGAAGAGTAACAATCTATAAACAATACTACGAGTAATACTACAATGACATGAAAAAGTTTTGATCACTTCCAGGATCTATTATGAATGCTATGAAACATAATTGAACGATGTATAGAAATGATTTATAAATAATAAGTGAATTTTATATAACTGACCACACTTGATCTTGCTGCGCTTGATCCACGACTGGAGCTCCCAGAACTGATTTTCACCGCATTTATGATCTCATGAGTGATCAATATTAAGCAAAAAATAATTTGATACATATTTTGTC